CCAAAAGAAATTCGGGCTAACCCAAATAGACTTAACTTGAATACCCAAATTCCTTTTTATTTATAAATAATATAAAAATAAGATAAAAATTGAAAATATTAATTTTTAAAATAAAAATTGAAATTACATAAAAAAATAAAATAAAATAAAAATTGACAATTAAGATATTTGGGCCAGTGGAAAAGCATGAGGGGTTTAGGCCAAATTTAGCTATATAAGTTTTTTTTACATGGTAAGATATTTTAAGCTCGCCTCGCATGAATTACCCACTCTAGACTATACCACACACTGAATACATATTCAATATATTGAATAAGACTAGACAATTGGAAGGAATTCCTCAATATATTCAATAATGGAATAGCCGAATGTAAAACAGCAAGTTCATCGAGTTAGCTGGCACAACAATGTACAGCACCTTGGACCTTTCATCCTATGGCTACATGAGATCAGTTTAGTCTGAATGCATTCTTCTACAAAAATGCTTGAACTTGCTGACAAGCAAAAGGAAATTTGAACATGTGGTAACTTTAGCAGGATTTGTCCTCATATTACAAGTTCAGCAGCTCTATCACTAAATAGTGTTTCAAACTCCAAGCTCTTTGCTACTTCAAAGAAATGTGCAACTGCTTCTTCAGGTGTGCCAACGAGAACACCATGCCCTAGATTAAGAATGTGTCGTCTAGGCCCAGCACACCTCACAACCCTGACAAACAATTTCCTCAGTCTAATTATCATATGAAAGGACGAAAATAACTCAAGATCCATCAAATTAGTGTTTTCTTGATTATGGTAATTTGATTAGCTTAGGCACAACGGTTAATATGGTATCTAGTGACTTCAAATTCAGGTCACCAATCAATGAAACTACGAAAGTATGCCCCTTCTTCCAAAGGCCCTAATCCGACTCAATCAGTCAATCTCTGTTAAATTAAAAACAACTGAATTTCTTGACGTTACTTCTGTTTTTATTTGTTAGTAGCTACTCCCAATTTCACTATTTTTAGTGCTATGATCCTACTGTAAGCATATATCAGGTGGAGTTCAATCTTCATAATTTAGATGATAGATCATAATTCATAAGAATTATTACAGCCTGCAATGGTCAAGATTGGGTCTAAATCTTGCATATACTGAAGTTTAGAGTATCAAGTCACTAACCTCCGAATTTCTTCAGTCACAGCATTAAGAGGGGAGAACAAGTAAGCAGGGTCCACATTTCCCTGCACACTTATTCCATTACCCAATCGTCTTCTTCCATCAGCCATATCTACTGTCCAGTCTAGACCAATAACATCAACTCCAGTTTCTTTCATACGCTCAAGAAGGCCACCGTTACCATTTATATACAGGACAAGGGGGGTTTCAGGGCACTTTTCCTTCACCGAATTAACAATCTGGGGAAAAAAAGAATAACTATTGAAGAGAAGATAGAATTTGGCTAGATAGTATTTAGCAGGGCAAAATACTATAGAAATATTAATCTTAAAATTCAACATAAGCACATGAAAAATGTGGCTTCCTGATTGGGATTTAGCCCTCTAGTATTAGTAAACAAATAAGTTCCGAACTTCTGATAGTTTTCTTCACCAGGTCAACTAGCCAATAACAGGCCAAAGAGGCTTCAAGCTCCCTAACAATTATCTAAAAATGAAACCAGTAATAATGAAAATATATGCAAGCTATGAACCATTGATCTACTTTGTCTCTTCAACTATACAAAGGCGATGAATCTGTTTTAACATAAGCATGAATTTATATAGGCATTGATACCAAAAAATGCAGGGTGAAAATGAAACATAATTTGAAAACAAAAAACATAGTGGAGTATATTTAAGTTACCTCTTTGATATAAGGCTTTGACCAGCGTTCCCACATATCAGGTGGTAGTTGTCCGCCCCATGAATCAAATATTTGTATGCAATGAGCCCCAGACTGAACTTGGAAAATAACGTATTCTGTTATTGCCTGTGTCAAATGAGAAAGAAGAGTCTTCAATACATGTGGTTCTGTATGGCACATGCTCTTTATCTTCGTATATGTGCGCGTTGTGCCCCCTTCCACTATGTATGTAGCTATTGTCCAAGGTGCTCCCACAAAACCCAAAACAGCAGCTTGACCACCAACCTACATAAAACCATAAAGAAAATAAATTAAATGTTAACTCAAGGAAACAGAATTACTTGAATAGTCATGTTAAAGATGAAGGGAGACAACTGAAGTTACCTCCTGGCGTAGTATCTTGAGTGATTCTCCAACAAAACTAAGTTTGTCCAAATCAATTGGATGCAAGGATTTTAAATCCTCAGCAGAGCGTATTGGTGATGATATAACAGGTCCCCTCACATCTTCTATGTCAAATGGGACACCAAATGCAGGAAGAGGGGTAAGTATGTCCGAGAAAATAATGACTCCATCAGGTCTGAAAGCTCTCCAAGGCTGCAAAGAAATTTCCACAATGAGATCAGTTGTCTCTGACCTCTGTCGGAAGGATGGATATTTCTCAGCAAGCTTTCTGTAAACAGCCATGTACCTTCCTGCCTGGCGCATCATCCATGCTGGAGGACGACTAACGGGATCTCCTCTGGCAGCCTTTACTAATAGTGGGTCTGAATAAGAACAGAAAATGAAAGGATACATAAAACAGTAAAGTCAATTGTGATGGAAACAGGTTTACATGGACATGTAAGTTCATGTGTCTGCACAGGAGAAATGAAAAGAGAAGGCAAGACTGTAAGGGATGAAAACAAATCCTGTGGGACTTAGGTGTGAAGGGCTTGTTATCAATGCCTTAAGCACATTATGGATTTGAGTTCCTTACTAATAAAGACGAAGCCTATAAGGAGAATTAACATCAAAATGACCATCATACCCTACTCAATAGAAGTAATATACTCCCTCCGGTCCCATTTATAAGTTCCATTTAGAAGGTGTATTTGGTCCTATTTATAAGTCATGGTGCGTCTTTTAGGTAATATTTGAGAAGTATTTCCAAAATTACCCTTCATGAGAGAGAAAAAGTAACAGGACATTACTTTTAGATTTGTTATATAGGGGCATGTTTGGAATTTTACTTACTTTTATTCCTTATACTTTTATTGTATTGATGAGGTTGGTAGAAATGACTTATAAATAGGACCGGAGGGAGTAATGAACAAATACAAGTTAGCGCCTTCAATAGTACCTCTCCTGTTCCTTTCAAAGAAATGATACAAAACATAGTTAGGAAGTAATGGAATGAAGGACTGAGGGAGATCAATGCTCAAAAGTTCTTTTTAATTCCATTGAAGCAGTGATCCTATGAGTCACTCCTCAGGCAACATTCAATCAATCAGCCGTTCAAATTTCCAAACCAGGTTAAATTGCTTCTAGCCAATTTCACTCCAAGAACCATCTATACACAAACATATTCCTATAAATGATAGTAAAAAACAGAAGAGAATCTTGGGGTTCTAAAACAGTTACCCCCCCCCCCCCAAAAAAAAAAAAAAAACTAGCAGCCGTATCTTTCAGGGCACAAGTACACCTGATAGAGCCACACATGCAGTGCAAACAGATATATTATTCTTTCCTAGTAATCATTCTGACGAATTCTCTTCACCTCTTAATTATTGACCAATATCATTCTTCCTGAAGAATCTCCGCCAACGCCAGAACAGATAAAACCACTTCATTTCCAGTAAAATAGAACGTAATCAACAGAAGAAACAAGAAGCAGAGCAACCCGATTCGCTATTGATGGTCGAAAAAGTTTCAGGAATAGACAATAGGCCATACCGTCATTAGAAGGTGCGGATGTCGAACAAGTGACAGCAAATTTTCTGTGGGGCGATTTTGCTTTTGCAGGGACTGAAATTACAATGGAGCCACCATAGTTGAAGCCAGATTGCACAAACAAGGAGGAAGACTTCCACCCCACAGCACTGTACAAAGCAAATTCCAAAGTCAACACAAATTGAAGTTACCAACTATAGGAAGAGAGACAGATAGAGAGAGGAAGAACTAGCCTGTTAACGGAAGCACTCATCTGGAGGGGGAAGAAATAAGCGGGGTTTGCTAATTTTCTTCGTTAAGGATAAAATTTCGTTGTTGCTGAGATTCCTTATCCTTCAGTGCTTCTTCTTCGTCTTCGCCTTCCCCCAGCTGCTGATAGTGGGGACCTGCAAGTGAATGATAGACCCACGGCCCATGAGGTAGCACACCAGGAGAGAGATAGAAAATCGAGATAAAACTTTTTCCGGAAAAATATTGCTCTTTTATTTGCCAACACAAACAAAATTCATATCGAGTCAATATATTAACATCCTCCCTCCTCTTTCTCCTATTCTATTCTAGTTGCAAGGTGAAAAAAAAATTATTTATAAATCATGTTATTTATTTTTTCTTTATTTTATTAAATATTGACCTTAGAAAATATGTTATTTAAATGTAAATATTTAATTGGAATAAATTTAAAAATATATAAAAATTTTAAACAACATTAAAGAATTTTAAAATTTATGTATCTTAAAAATAGGATTGGAAAGAAAATTGTGTATAAAATAAGTTTTACAAATAACTCATTTATCATAAATTATAAATATATTTTTTTAAAAAATAAAGAATTTAATAATTACATGGTAAAGATGTCTCTTTAGGATCCTTGGAGGAAACACATTCTCAATCTCAATGGGTTATTCTGTTGCTGTTATTTACTCATTTAAATTAATTATTAATGTAAAATGTAGAATTTCGTTCAGCTGTAGAGACGGCTCCATCCGGCAAAAGAAATAAGAAAAATAAAAAGACCGTTCGATTAATTTGATTTTTATTGTTACATTAAAACAAAATATATTAGCTTCATTCCGTTGCCGGGAATCGAACCCGGGTCTCCTGGGTGAAAGCCAGATATCCTAACCGCTGGACGACAACGGAAGCATGTTAAAGGAGTCGTTTGATATTATATTCTATTATACCAATGGCTTCTTTTATCACAACCAAATTGGTTTGCCCATTTCGATGCCTAGACTGAACAAGGGCTTGGCGGGGGCGATGGTTTTGCGTGCAGCATTTGTTGCTGGCGACTGAGAGAGTTGTCCGAGAAGAGGGAATCGTTGCCGTCGGTGACAGTACAATTGCCTTTATGTCAATCTGTTTTGCTTCTTCATGATAGTTCAGTAAACTTATCTGCCTCTCCCGTCCAGGACCCAACGCCGCCTGCCGGTGGAAAGGAGGCTCGCTTCCATTTCCTGTGCTAAAATTTTGCCCAACCAAACGGGTCCTAACTCTGTGAGCTGTTCTCCTTGGAGGTGCTTTCGAATGATTTCATCTAAAGAAAATGCATTTTGGGGATGGATTTTTATATCACTTGGCTCTATATTCTTTGTTGGGTACTTCTTTGCTGCAATTATTTCCAAGCTTCTCCCACCTTCAAATATAGCGATAGTATCTGCCATGCAAAATGACTGGTAATCAATTATAATGTGAAGTTTCTATCTTTATATTTATTTTTTGTGTGATTTGTTTATATATATAACGGAACGATACATGCATAAATCATTAGGCCTCGACATTGAATTATGTTCCATACTGGACTTTCTGCTTTTAACTTCACGTACTGTTGGTGGATTCGATATACAGTTTTATCATTCATGCTACCAGATGGCTAGATTTACTATCTCTGTTTCATTTTGATACAGAGTCATATGCTAATTTTTTAATCATATGAAATAACATGGTCAAAGTTTTACTCTTGCCATTTTGAGTATGTAGATGCTAGGGAGGAATGAACGTGGATCAATTGTGGGCAACAGCTTGGAAAATATTGTTTTTTTAGCATTTAGATCAAAGTTTTAAATTTAGCTTTGAGGGAAGATAAAGCAAATGCTTCTAACTTCTTTCAAAATTTCTGACAGGCTGCTCTGGGGTAAAACTTAGAGGCATTTATTGTGTGTGTAGTTTCATTTTTTAGAGAACCAAGTTGTAAGAGTATATCAAGAGGGTTCTGTGACCTCTTTTTCTTTTTCTTTTAATTGTATGGAGTGCCTTCAAAGTAGCTGGTTTGGTCTGAGGTCCTTTAGCTTCATGTCTAATATACTACTAATCAGGTCAACTTTATCAGCTTGACAACATGCTAGGTATATCATGGATTGGGGAGCTTGTGCCTTCTCATATATTAATAAAGGGGCTACAAAGGGTTCTTGTTCATCATTTGATGCAAATGACTTGTTAGTTTATGCTTGTCAGAACATGATTGATGCAGTTATTTTACGTTAAAATTGCTAGTTCTTGTTATTTTTCCATTTAAATGATTGCTAGTTCTAGTTATTTTCCACTTACATGATCTATTGAAATGCGGGGATTTATTTGGTTTTTATCATTGCTTAATCATGCATTTTCATAATTCATTCTGAATGACGAAAGATTCAGAAATGAAAGACAGCTAATCTATGGAATTGCATCCAAATACAGATCAAATTAAATTAGTCTTCAAAAAGATATCCTTTACTATTTGAAGTTTTGTTTGAAAATTCATTCACCACCATTTATGTACATTATGAGTTTTTGAGGTAAGTTCATGTGTATCACATGCTTTGACTCCAATAAAAGGGCATTCTTTCCAGCTAGTGAAATGGTTATGTCGTCTGGTGCAGAGTTACAGCTAACCTATTTAGGTTAAGTCTTTTAGCCTTTATAGAATATGGGGAATTGTTTGGTACACTTGTTTCATAAATTCCCATTTCTTAGGTATGTCAAATGTCTTCTTGAGTGGGATCCCAAAAATACCTTTGAAGGGGACGTGAGGTTCTTGAATTCACCCTGATGAGTTGTTTTTTAACTGTCATAATATGTGGGAAATAACTTTTCTCTTCCTGGTGGATTATTTCTAAAGAATTTTATTTATTTATTTTTCTGTTATAGGTTTTTCAATTGTATGTTTTACTAGTGTTATCATAATTATTCTTAATAACTTGATCATCGTCATTGTTGATAATAATGCTGCTATCACTTTCCAGTCTTCTTTTTTCTATTTTTTTCCTTTTAGTGTCTATCTATCTCAAAACATTTTTTTTTTTAAAAAGAAAACAAAAATTTTTCCTAATCTGTATTTGGCTTATTGTAGGTATTACTGCTTCTTGGTGCCGTTGACTCTGCCTATGGTTGTGGTTGCTGTATACTTTCATTGGCTCAGCATGAAGATGTTCAAGCATGCTTAACGTCTAATTATTTATCCGATCATTATTTGGAGTGGAGGCACGCAGGATTTCTTTCTGCTTCAAAACTGACATTTAATTTGGTCCCTATAAATATAATTAACACTTGTTCCCTAATCATGTCCTATGTTTCAAAAGCCTATAAATTTATCCTCATGGTTATCTTTCTTTTTCTTTTCCTTTTTCTTTTTTTTTTTTCTTGTGTGGCGCCAATCCTTATTGTATATGAAATAGTAATAATTATCTGAAGATTGAACATCATCATCGGTTGGATTCAAATGTCAAATCCCTCATTCTTTGCAGCTCCTATTTCTCAAACTTGTGTGTATTTATTTTTTATTTAATTGAATCAAAATACTTTGTCATGAGAAATTAAATTTTTTCATTAAAAAATCACTTATTTTTGGAAAATTGTTGTTATAAAAAATTTTATGATGTTTTTTAAGTTTTTAAAAATAATCAAGATCTTGAGGAAAAAAAACTTAATTTTTTCTTTTTTTTGAGAGATCTTCAAATACCGAGACTAAAGGCTTACTCTATATGACTGGACCAACAAGATAGTCCATGTTGAATATCATGCTATGGACAAAATGAAATGGAGATTCCTAGATTTAATTGGTTAAACTTGATGGGGTAGTCAATCATGAAGGAGAAGCTGCGTGCGGTGGTCTTATTTGAGATTAGGCTAGTAATTGGAGTGGTGGGTTTATGTCGACAATGCGCTACTTTCCTTACACTACAACAAAAATGATGAGCATCAATGAAGGCTTAAATCTTTGCTTGACTCTCGATTTCAAAAAAGTTAATCTGTTTTTCCGATTCCATGAAGACCTTAGAAAACATTCAAAAAATCAGGATAGGTCTCACCCAACTTTTGAAGTTGGAAACGATATTAGGAAAATGTTTATGCATGATTGGGAGGTTTCCTCTGAGTACATGTTTAGGAAAGCAAACAATTGTACAGATTAGTTAGCACGCAATATTATCCTCAGATCACCAACACCACATTATTATAGAACCACCTCCTGAATATTTAGCTATTGTAGGCTATATGACCTTAGATACAGTTCTAGAGACGTGGGTTAATTCCTTTTTTGCTCCTTTATTTTTCCTACTTGTAGGTTTTGCCTCCATTTGTAATTCAAAATACATACATACATACATACATATATATATATATGTATCATGCTTTTTTCATTCAACCTGAACCATAATACTTCTGGTAAATTTAGTTGCTCCATGTGATTTTTTTTTTTTTTCTTATGGAAGTGGATACATGTAATTTGTTTCCTGGAATTTGTGGCAATGTTGTTATGGAGTATCTTGAAAGAAAGATTTATTTACCTTCATCAAAAATTTACTTGAATAATCTGTACATATCTATATATAACTACACTTTGAGCCATGTGGACTATTTTGGCCTTGATGAACCTTTGGTACCAAGTCACCTAATATTTTTTATATTACCCCAAAAAAAGAAAGAAAGAAAATGAGATATCCACCAGAATGAAATCAACATAGTAAAAAGAGATTCATGATGTTTGATTTCAGATTTGCTAGTACTGATGAGTAGAACCTGGCCACAACAGAATCTTATTATTGCAAACATGAAGAAAAAGATGCTTTAAATATCTAAACAACATCCAACTCTCTTGCAGCACAGAAATAGAAAATTGAGGCCCCTTGGATGAAGCATCAATGGTAGCCTCTATACAAAGCTCTTGGAAGAATCAACCACTCTGCATACTCAACACATGTTCGGACTTGTCTTTGGAGAAAGGTCCCTTGAACATAATAGAACCAAGATCATGGTTACTTCTCTGGTTGCATGAGTATGCAACTTTATCATAGAGAATAGAGTACCCTAAATTACTCACATTCCTAAAATAGCAAAACTCATGGCTTTTGTATTTGTATACTTGTTGTGTGCTACCAAATGCTTTAACCAAAGTATCATTCTTCACAACCACAGTGCTGTGAGCATTCTGCAGATTCTTGAGAGACCTGCTTGAGAATCCGGAATCATGACTCTCATCAAATCCCAACGTGACATTTGCAACAGATAAAGAGGTTTCATTTCCTTGATTCAGTTCATCCAAGTAGAAGGATAGGGAAAATTTTCTGGAAGTTTTATCCACAAAATGGACAGGAAAGTATGGAAGCTTGGCATCAACAGTGTTATTGAAAAGGATTGTTTGGTTTGCACTTTCCATAGCCCCATCTTTCACAAATACCAGTGAGTTCATGTAACTGAAGTCTTGAACTAAACTGGTTGTGATATTACCAAAAGAAGATCTCACCCACCCAGTTGATGAAATTGATCTCCTTGCACTAGTCTGAAAATTTCCATTCAAGCCTTTGTAATGTGAAACAGAGGATTCAACCAGAGGCTTGACAATGAGGTGGAAATTTCCCCTTCAGTTTTTCTGCTCTTTCTATCCAACCAAACATGCAGATTTGCATCTATGAACCAGACATTCAAAGCATTTGTTACCCTAAACCCTAATGAGTGGGAATCTCCATCCAATATCATACCCAAAAGTGGTGTGATTTCAATATCATAAGAAGGAAGATCAAATGACCCTATTCCAGTTATGGGTCTCCACAGCAATGGCTCTATCCCTCCTGTGTAAATCACAGTAAAAGGCCAAACCCCACCAATAATCTGATCATCAAGAGTGACCAAAACCTCTCTGAATGGTCCATTCCCAGGTGTATCAGTAAGGTTGTTTGCAGCAATGTACTCATTTGGAGGATTGCCATACCAAAATTCATCTTTCTCATGATACGAAATATAGACCTCTAACACAGCCCTATAAGCATTTTGGGGGATTTTGAATTCTTTCATAGCTGTATCACTAGAATTCACAATTTCAAACCACAACCCATCATTCAAAGGAAGATTTCGTGAAACGGGTAAGATCAAATCAGCTGGAAAACCATACCCAAAAGCTAAACTTGCATCAGATTTTGGTTCATCACCAGAAAAACTCTTCACTTGAGGATAAAAGTGAAAGTAAACATCAACATGGTAAACCCCAGTGTAAGTATTGTCCACAAGATTTCCCAAATAAACAGCAAGAAGGTGATCATCACTCATGAGCAACGAAGAGTACCTAGTGATGTCCTTTTTAACAGTCCAAACAATCCCAGTAGGCCTAGGCTCCGCCGTACAACTCCGAAGCAGCTCAACCCCACCGAGCCACACACCGAAAATGCGATCGAATTGGATTCCTCTACAAGTCGCCTTCCACTCGAGAACAATCTTGGAAAACTCGCGAGGGCAATGTTTGGGAGGACTGTAATTAGCGAAAACTGGGGGTTTTCCATACGTGAAGCCAAAATCGTGATGAAGTATGCGGTATGAACAAGGCTTTGTTTGAGGGAGTTTAATGGGTTTGGTTACCTCGAAGAACTCAGTCGGTGAGGTATCATTCGGGGAAGATCCGAGCTGAGCAAGATGGTGTGGTCTGAGATGCTTGATTTTGTGAAGATTAGTTGCAGAACCGGGGTGTCGAAAACTCAAGAGGACGAGGGAGAAGAAGAGAAAGATGAAAGAAAAGTTCATCACTGTGGTCTCAAGTATGCACCGTGAAAGTGGAAGTTGCTCTGCATTGAGCTAATTTCATATGTGACTGCTTCATTGGCCTGTTTATAGGATCCGAGCTCGACGAGAGTCAATGCAAAGTCCATGCCTCGATGGATTTAAATATTAGAGAAAAATAATTAATTAAAGAAAGTTAATTAAATATAGTAATTATATTTAAAATTAAAAAATTAGATTAAATTATTTCCATAATTAATAAAATAAATCTGTCTCGTGAATATAAATATTGATTTTGTAAATAAAAAAATTTAGAACAATGTAATAAATGCTTATTAAAATTTCTAATTTTGCTTGTTAAAAAAGAAGGAGGCAGGTAAAAGTTTCTCTTGAAATAAAAAAAAAATGGAGGGAGTAAGAATCTTGAGACAGGGTTTAATATTGAATCAATTTTGAGCTTTGATCAGGTGCTTAGTTTCATTGATCATATGCAACCACGGCTGTTATATAAATACTTAAATAGAAAGTAGTGTGTTCAATCCCACTTATGAATATAAGCTATTAATGCTTGCCTTTCTAGTTCAAAAAAAAAAAAAAACAGCTTAAGGCATTCCTGGATTATGAAATTGCTGTTGGTAATGACAGTTACACACAACAAAAATCTGAATTAGTTTGAGCAAGTAGTAATAATGGCCAAATTTTTTAAGTTACTAGGTAATGGAATGAAAAAAAAAAATAACTAAGAAGAGTTTAAATTTTTTATGTAAGTTGTTTAAGTAAATCAAATGATTAAATTTTGCTATTCCCAGCACAAACTAAAGAGATGCATAGGTGGTTAACTGAGTCTTCCAAAACACAACTGAAGGTGACATGAATTTATTGAATGTCAAGTAATAGCCTCTTATGGCATCATAAAAATTGATGATAATACAGATAATTAAATGACAATTCACAAGAAGGACTAAATATAAAGTGGAATCAAAAGCCTTAAGATGATTTTATTTAAGTCATACCTATTCTAATTTATATATATTCATTTAATTATACCTGTCATTTACTATTATCTGTTAATAGAAAAATGAGGATTATTTTTTTACTCACATTTTCATTCTCTTTAATTTTATTCTATTTCACATGTGAAACACGCGTATAATCAATCATAAATTCATTCTGGCAAAAAAAAAAAAAATCAATCATAAATTCATAATTGCCACCATTTTTAGGTCATATTTAATTTAATGTAATAAGTTTCTCCCAATCATTGATTTACTTCCTAAAATTTAATTTTTATCGATTCAAATCCCTAAATTTTAATAATCATGCACAATTAGTTTTTTATGATTTGAAGATATATAATAACTAACACATTAACACGTATGTGATATAACCTTTAACTTAAGGATGACAGAATCGTCCTGAATTTCTCTCCATTATTCTTTCTATTTCTTATTTAGCTTCTGATTCCCTCCTAACTTCTAATACTCGGTTCACTCACCAGGTTTATTAATTTTTAATTTATTATCTGTTGTTCATTTTCTTTTCAATATTATTTGCCTTATATTAAAAAGAAATACTAGTCAAATTGAGATTAATAAAAGTATAAAACTATGAAATTGTGGGTGAAATTTTAAGAATTTAATTGATAATATTAAATTTTAAGGACTAAATTTAATAACAGAAATAAATTTGAATGACAAAAATAATTTACTATCCCATA